ATTCCTATAAATGGTCAGTAATAATCATAAGGTGAGTATTTAAGTTAATTGGTTAGTATTCCTTACTTGTGTCAGTATGTAAAAATAACATGAGTCATTAAACAAACTGAGTTAATCTGAACAAATCACTAGACAGGAGAAATGGACAAATGCATGACTAATATATAAATAAGAAAACCGCCAGTTATCTTTGATCTGCGTGACTAACTGAAACCGACGCCAGTACAGCGTGAAATCATTAACTATATAAATTTCTGGTAAGTTTTTTTTATAAGTGATTAGTATCAGTTAAATTGTGACTTTTCCGTTAAATCATCACTACATCCTGAATTAATTATTATTTATAAATTATTTATTAATATTCTTGAATAAGTGGAAATAATGGATGCCAGTTAACTGCTGTATTGTGTAGAAATTGCCTATTGATTTTTTTAAATTATTTTGTTATGAATTATCTTGTCTACTACTTCAATATATATGACTATTAAATTTTTCCGAAACCATTCAAGGCTATGAGGAATTTATTGTGAGACACAGTTTTTGCTATATGCTAAAACATATAAATTCCTCATAGCCTCAAATGGTTTCGGAAAAATTCAATAGTCATATATATTGAAGTAGTAGACAAGATAATTCATAACAAAATAATTAAAAAAAAAAAATCAATAGGCAATTTATGGGAAATATTTGAATTTAGGTAATTTTTTTTTTAACTCTAAAATGGCCACAGTGGGTTCTCCGTAACTACAAGGTTGGTGACCCTCATATTTCATGTGGGGTATACAGGGTACCCAATGACCAAATCTGTAAAGTTTCGTCCAAATCGCCCGACACCGCTTGTGCCAGTTTTTTTTAAATTTTGCATGGTTCTCTCGCAAACTCATTCTTAATATACAAGACCTTCATTATTAATGTATGGACTATTCTCTTTCGTTCTAAAATATAACACCAAGAGAAATATTAAACAAAAATTAACAAATATATGGCGTGGTTGCTATGTGATTTTGTTTTAGAACATATAACATACCTTTAACTTGCTTTTTCTCAAAGGCTAATGTCCCCCGCCGAAATCCCAAAATAAATAGATGACACATATTAATTAATTGCGCATTTATTTTTTTCAAAAGTACCGGGCAATCAAACTATACACTAAGTTTCATCACTCTCTATCGGAAAGAATCAAAGTTATCTTGTCCCAAAGCATCGACCAATGAAATTGCTTAGCTCTGTTCAGCTTTAGCTCGAAATGTTAATCATTGAACTCAAGTCAAGACAATCACCTAATGAACATCTACATCAAGTTTAAACATTCTACCTTAAACATGCATTATGCAAGAACAAAATCTGCTTATTACAAGTCTTTCTTTAGGCCTGAAATGTTATCTAAATTATCAATTAGACATTAATTAACTTATCCAGACCATAATAAACTCTCGATGTCAAGGCTAGCCTTCGATGTAGGCTGGATTAGATTCCTATATGCCGGTAACGGCCAAAGATAATTAAATCAGAAAAAGTGGATAATCGAGACTATGCTGTTTATATTAATGATTTTAGTAATGATAACCGAGACTATGCAAAAATTTCACCGACTTCTTTCTCGGCTCATAGTGGATCAATTTGACTGAAATTTTCAGCAAATTACCTTTACACTATCTAGTTTTTAACTATTATAGCGAGAACTGCCATCTCTTTATCTTATCTCCCATAATGTATCTTTAATTAAAAGCAGAGTTGTTATGTTCCAAAGTCTTGACCAATCAAACATTTCCCCCGATTCGAGAATATTAATAAATAATTTATTCAGGATGCAAGGACAATTTAACGGAAAAGTCACAATTTAACCGATACTAATCACTTATTTAAAAAACTCACCAGAAATTTATATAGTTAATAATTTCATGCTCTACTGACATTGGTTCCAGTTACTGACTCAGATCAAAGATAACTGGCGGTTTTCTTAATTAGTTACGCGTTTGCCAATTTCTCCTTACTAGTGATATCTTTGGATTAACTCGCGTTTGTTTAATTGCTCACGTTATTTTTACATACTGACACAAGAAATACATACCGATTAACTTAAATACTCATCTTATGATTATTACCGACCATTTATAGGAATACTAACGCACGGTGCAAGTATTGACGGGTTTAAGCGACTACTGACAACACGTATATTTCTCACAAGTTTCCATGAATAGTAACCACAATTAACTGAGAGATCAGTTCTACACACTATGCATCTTGCTGTGTAATGAACCAAGTTTAAATATTCTACCTCAATCAAAACCAGAGATGTTATGTTCCAAAGTCTTGAGCAATCAAATTGCTAATCACTACTTAGTAGTAAATTCTCATCATCAAACTTAGTCATAGTACTGATTTAATGAATCTATACTCTGAGTTTCATCACTCTCACCAAATTAGAACCAAGGTTATTGTCCCAACCAATCAAATTGCTTATCTATGTGTAACCTTAGTGAAAAATGCACATGATCAATTACAATCAGACTGCAAAAGGCCAATCAAGTAATGTGCAGATGGTGTTGATATTAAATGATAGGCTACTGTGATAAACAAAGTATATATTATTCCCAATTTAGTTGATAGCTGTTCATTTAGGAGCCAACAAGACAACAGTGAGGCGGTGTCACCCATCGCAATTCTGAAATACAAATTGCACATTTACCTTTTTGTAAAGCATTGAGCAATCAACTGCATATTGATATTTAGCTTAACCAGACAATACTCAGGATCGAACTTATTCATTGTATTGATGTTTCCAACTCACACTGACCAATACATTCACTTTAAATCAAATCATTCGCATGAAATTAACAAATCCATCATAAACACTTTAACCAGATGAGCCACCAAGATATGTGACAAAGATAATTTACCCATGGAATTAGAGCATTTAAAGAATGTATTCATAAATAATAACAGTTACCCCATCCAACTGGTTAACCACTACCATAGAGAACCAACACACGTCTGGAAGGCCAAAGACTGACCACTCTGACATCAGAATCACCATCCTGTTTCATGGCAAAATCTCATACCAAATAAGAAAGTTGATGAAACATGAAGTGGGTATAGACTTCACCTTCGCAAGTGGCAGACCCATTCAGAATATAATGGTAAAACACAACAAACCAACCCCACACAGCCCAAAGGAATAATATGTAGGCGAAACAAAGCGTACATTTGATGTACGAATAAAAGAGCACAAGTCACTAGTCTCCACCAATCCTTCAGCCATAGCAGAGCATATTATTAACAACAGACATCATACAATCATGTAGGACCAAACAAGAACCCTTGCAGTAAATCATCACCAGAAGAAAACCAGAAAATTTCTTGAGGCCATCAATATAAAATACATCAAGCCTAAGGACCATATTTTATCTTTCATGATTTTCAGTTTATTGAATTAACAATCTGATTATAACACAGATCCTATTTCGTTATGTTTTTTTATAGTTCAAAATTTCATTTTACTTGTCTTTACTACATTAGGATCTGGAAGAGTTGTTATCATTGACGTGTTCTGGATGATGTGAGGGAATAGGCAATGAAAAGGTCTGTTACGGTGAGCTTTTGGCATGAGGTGCACGGAACTGTGGGTAATCCACTAGAAACATCAATGTTGATTGGTTAATCAAATGTCTGATGTCATATATAGACCATCGAAAGTAGAAACAAGCCAACAGTGAGGCTGATGTCCCCTGCCGAAATCCCAAAATAAATAGATGACACATATTAATTAATTGCACATTTATATTTTTCAAAAGTATCAAGCAATCAAACTGATTATCAACTATACACCAAGTTTAATCACTCTCTATCAGATAGAATAAAAGTTATCTGGTCCCAAAGCATCGACCAATAAACATTCTACCTCAATTAGACAGAGAGTTATTGTGTTCCAAAGTCTTGGCCAATCAAATTGCTTATCGCTCTGCTTACCCTGAGCAAAAAATACTCATTATCGAACTTAGTCAAAGTATTGATGTAATGAAACTATACACCAAGTTTCATCACTGTCACTTAATTAGAACTAAAGTTATCGTGTCCCAAAGCATCAACCAATCAAATTGCTTATCTTTGCTTACCCTCAGCAGAAAATGCTTATCTTCAAACTCCATCAAGGCATTGACCTAGAAAATACCTACACCAAGTTTGAACATTCTAGCTCAATTAGAAGGAGAGTTATTGTGTCCCAAAAAGTGTGACAGATGGCCAGCCAGCCAGACAGCCGGACGAACCCATTTTAATAGTCCCCTGCTTTCTTTGAAAGGCGGGGGACAAAAAAATGAAACGAAATGTAGATCTGTATTTTAATCAGATTAATTGAATTAATACATTTACAGCTTTCTCTCGTGCAGTTTTATAGTGTTACCTTTCATGATTTACAGTATATGGAATTAATATATTTACGGTGTCCCTTGCATAAGCGATCACTCTTGTTCACTCACAACCCCCTCTACACACATTCTCTTTAAATCATTATCTATGGCTCAGGTTAATTGGTTTTCCACTAATGTTAAATACAATGACCTTCTTAAATCAATAGGATTTCCCTGCCCCCTTTTACTGCCTGTAAGAGTTTAATTGTAAATGGTTTAAGTATCTTACATTAAAGACTGAGTAATTAAACCTTTGATAAATGTATAATGTAAGATCATTCATTCCAACTCTCTCTGGTTGTCATCCTTCAAAATAGCACTAAAAATTCTAGGGAATGAATCAGACATTTTATATTATATGAATAGACTAGAATAGAACTGAAACTCCTTTGAAGACAGCATACAATATACAAAGAATAAAATACAAGTACAAAAATTATGAATGACAATTTGACAAAGAATAATCAAATGAGGAAGGCTAGCGCACTTGCAGGTATCATGATCAGTATTAGTGAGAATTTTGTTGGTTTCCCTAACTTGGTAGTTACTTAACACATATAATATAGATCTTAAATAATAGGTAATACTTGCCTTCTTCTCGAACATCAAAATTCATAACACAGTCTTCAATATATACAGCTCTTTCATGTCCTCTACAGATTCGTTCTGTTGATTCATATTCCACTTTCCTAAATACTGTATCATCAATCTACATTTAACAAAAGGGCATTGTAATAATACAAATCATAGTCTATTTCTCACATATTCCAGTAAACATAGTTTGCCAGACGACAAAATATACTCCTACCAGGAACTTTGGCATCCAAGGTGCACATTATTTATTCTACTGAAAATCAATAATTGAACAAATTAAAGATACATTATGGGAGATAAGATAAAGAGATGGCAGTTCTCGCTATAATAGTTAAAAACTAAATAGTGTAAAGGTATTTTGCTGAAAATTTCAGTCAAATTGATCCACGATGAGCCGAGAAAGAAGCGTGTGAAATTTTTGCATAGTCTCGGTCATCATTACTAAAATCATTAACATAAACAGCATAGTCTCGATTATCCACTTTTTCTTATTTAATTATCAACGGCCGTTAGCGGCACATAGGAATCTAATCCAGCCAACATCGAAGGCTAGCCTTGACATCTAGTGTTTATTATGGTCTGGATAAGTTAATTAATGTCTAACTGATAATTTAGATAACATTTCAGGCCTAAAGAAAGACTAGTAATAAGCAGATTTTGCTCTTGCATAATGCATGTTTAAGCAAACTGTATAATGATCAAATCTGAAATGTTAACAAGCCAACAGTGAGGCTGATGTCCCCCGCCGAAACCCCAAAATAAATAGATGACACACATTAATTAATCGCACATTTTTTTTTTTCAAAAGTATCAAGCAATCAAACTATACACTCAGTTTCATCACTCTCTATCAGATAGAATCAAGATTATCTTGTCCCAAAGCATTGACCAATGAAATTGATTAGCTCTGCTTAGTTTCAGCTCGAAATGTTAATCATTGAATTCAGTCAAGACATTCACCTAATGAACATCTACATCAAATCTAAACATTCTACCTCAATTAAAAGCAGAGTTGTTGTGTTCCAATGTCTTGACCAATCAAAATGTTTATCGCTCATTAGCCTAAGCAGAAAATTCTCACCATCGAAATTAGTCAAGGTAATGAGATAATGAATCTATATTCAGAGTTCCATCGCTCTCACTTCATTATAACCAAAGTTATCGTGCCTCAAAGCATCAACCAATCAGATTGCTTATTTCTGCTTACCAAAAGCAGACAATCTTCATCATAAAACTCCACCAAGGCATTCACCTAATGAAGCCTACACCAAGTTTAAACATTCTACCTCAATTAGAATGAGAGTTATTGTGTTCCAAAGTCTCGACCAATCAAATTGCTTATCGCTCTGCTTACCCTGAGCAGAAAATGCTCATGTTTGAACTTAGTCAAGGTATTGATGTAATAAAACTATACACCAAATTTCATCACTCTCATTTAGTTAGAACTAAAGTTATCGTGTCCCAAAGCATCAACCAATCAAATTGCTTATCTTTGCTTACCCTAAGCAGAAAATGCTTATCTTCGAACTCCATCAAGGCATTGACGTAATAAATACCTACACCAAGTTGAGTTCTAACATTCTAGCGCAATTAGAAGGAGAGTTATTGTGTCCCAAAAAGTGTGACGGACAGACAGACGGACGAACCCATTTTAATAGACCCCTGCTTTCTTCGAAAGGCGGGAGACAATAATCATCAGATTTTAACAATAGCTACGGTTCTTTAGATTTTTTTATTTTTAACGAATCTTCACAGATATTAGACGCCAAATTTTGGAAATTTAAATTTTGACAAAAAACTTTTTTATTGATGAATATTTTTTTTATGGCATTTTTATGGGTCATGTGATTTGAGCAAAATTGTGAACAATTTTTTCTCGATAATTTTCCTTGGCCGCTATTGGCTAATTCAGTTCATGGGTTCTAGGTTAATTATTTATTGCTCGATTTGTATAAAACAAAGTTCATATGCTCAATGGTCCAATATATGCCAATATCGAAAGGAACCGATATCTTTGGGAAATAGACCTATATTTTAAGTTTCGTCAGAATCAAATAAAAATTGTGACCTGTAGAGTGTCTACAAACAAATTGTGGACGGACAGACGTCTGAACAGACAGGGGCTACGTCTACATGAAAATGTGAGAATTTTCCAATCAATAGAAACAGGTAACACAAACCAATTACAGACGGTTTGATGGGATCAATTTTCACTAAGTCAAAATGATGCATTTGATATTCAGATAAGTTGATATACAATGATTAAATGGCGTCATTTTGGCAAAAACTGCATTTATAGCCCTTCAAGAAAAATATTTTATTCAACTAAGTCGTATTTGTAATTTGTTTATAATTAAGATATTTGCTTCCATTCAACAAATAGAATGAACCCATACGATCATATGGATATCATAACATGGTTTCAAACTTGTTCAGTTGCGGAAGAAATAGACGATTTTTTAAATGTTGCTTTTCAAAGTTTTTGGTCCATAACAGTGTCAATTATTATTTGTTTTCATAAAAACTTTACCATGTGATGCCTAATGCCATTTACGATTTCCTAAAATTAATTTAACATTTTTATTGTCACCGAAAGTAATGTCATTTTGGGAAAAACTGTATTTTTAGCCTCCAAAATAACTATTTGTTTAAAGTAAGTGATATTCAATATTCGCATGAAACTATGATATTTGATTTCAATGGACAAACAGTAATAATCAATACAATCATATAGATATCAAAAGATAGGTTGCCAGGCCATGAAACATACGCCCACAGCAGCTAAATTGTCTGGCCAGTCAACAAGAGTTGTCGCATATTTTTACTTTTTTCAGTAATGAGACATTTATAATACACTAAAATCCGATTAAGAGTAACAACTCATTAAGTAATTATCAGAAAATCATTAGAATATGTTTGTTTTTTATATAAAGTACTGTCCCATGGTAACGTTTAGTATACGAAACATTTAATATCATGGATTTAGCTGTTAAGTTATCAAAATTAATTGAAAATCAATATACTTGTTCGTCTCAAGACATTAAACTCTGTGTATCAATCTGAAGTCAATCAGATGATAACTTTAGCCTCTAGACAGTCACAAGATATTTCAAAGTGATCAAAGGCCATAACTTTGGCAGTAATTATCAGAAATCGTTGAAAATCAATAGGATTCTTCGTCTCATGACCTCGAATATTATCTTTAGCTTCTAGAGCATCCACAAGATATTTTGAAGTAATCAAGGGCCATAACTCTGGCAGTAATTATCAGAAATTGCTGAAAATCAATAGGAGTCTTCGTCTCATGACCTTAAACACTGTGTATGAATTTTAAGTCAATCGGATATTAATCCTGTCAACTCATCCCTTCTTAAAATTATTAAACAAAGATTTGATATTAACAGCGTGTCCACGAGAGCACCATGCAGAAATTGAAAAAAATGATAACCCGGGGGGTCAGCAAATTTCAACCATACTTGGTCTATGGGGACCCCTAGGCGACAGAAGTCACATGATGGAGTGAAAATTTTTGAACGGACAACTTCCGGTATAACTGGAAATTGTTGTTTTGGGGCAAAAGTTGACTATTTCGATCAATTTGTTACCCTAATTTCAAAACGCTCCTACCCGAAAAGTTGTGTCTCTAAATTTTTGATATTGGTCAGGTATGATAGGCCTAGTAGTCGTCTTAAAATCCTGCAGTCGTTTGGGAATGAATGAATCGTGTGGAATTTTCTGTGAGTGATCATAAAGTGGTCATTTTACATATGTTTAAAACTATGCTATCCTAAAACGCATGTAGCTGCTTCTTTGCAGGTCTGACATAGAATTGCTTGGTGTGGTTGTGAAGGGCATTTCTCAAAGTAAATGTCAAAAGAAAAAAAATGACCGGAACGCAACCCACTAGAGTGCTGTAATATTCTGAAAATGTGTAAAAACGGTATTTTCCACGAAATTCATCTTTTCACTGATGACCGAATACTATTTTCAAGAGTTCAAATGACCGTTGATTATGAACATTAGTACTATTTTTTGTTACTTGAACGTTCCTTGTGCCAAATATACTATCTTGGTTAAAAATCATGAAGTTTTTGTGACAAAATCGGACGTTCGCGGTCATCGTAGGAATGGGGCTTAACTGGTGTACAATTTTGCAGGATCAGGCAACGTTTATTCTCACCTGTATTCAGTAGTTAGTAGCACGGAAGTGCATAAATGTAAGGACTGACATAGCAAGCTTTTATATTAGCACAATTTAACCAAAGCAGCACCTTTTCAGCAATGACCAACGATTATCTTCAAATGACTACTGATCATCACCATTACTTGTAATATTTCGTAATTTCAACGTGAATCGTGTCAAATAGATCATTTTGTTTAAAATCATAATACTTTTGTGACAAAATCTGACTTTCACGCTTGCTTGATAGCCATAGGGAAGGGTCATAAGTGGTGTGTAATTTTGCAGGGATCAGACCACTGTTATTAAGATCTGTATTCATGAGCAGATCATCGTATAAATTTGACTGACATGACTATCATAAACTTGATATCTTTTAATTTGTACACCTGCTCATGTAAAGAAGAACCATAAGAAGAAACATTCAGAAGTGTTCATGTAGGGACATTTAATGTCTGGTATTGAAATCTCTGAATCATGGCATAGATCAAAACAGGATTTATGGCACTCCAGGATAATGTTGACCGCATGTGCCAAACTCCTACATATACCTACGTTCGAGCAGAAGTGCTCACTTACTTAGATTCCTACGTTTGAGTGTAAATGCTCTCTGACCTTCCTTCAAGGTTTTTGGACCACAGAGTACTGTTTTATTTTGTAGTACTGTTTTTGACCTCTTCTCCTTCAGGGATTTCAATATGGAATTATCATAGCCTCCTGATCTGTAATGCCTCTCCATGAAAACGTCCAAATGTTTCCATACAATGATCGGCTCCTAAATACAGATGGGAATAAGCTGGTCTGATTCCTAAAATATGTTTGACCAAAATAATCTATTTGGCACAAGGAACATTGGCAGAAAAGGTGTTGTATGGTCGTCTTGCTGATTGTGTGACTACGACTTACTGTCACTGGATCATCTACAATCCCCTCGT